ATCTCTTCCATCATGCCGCCTATAGCTGCCAGTGGAGTGTCATGCATCCGGAGTTTTTACGAATCCTCGACGGTTTTGCCGAGGCGTTGCTTACACGATTCCATTTCACTGCCGATGCAGAAGATTTGAACTGGGCTATGATATGTCGCAGTGGTGGGATCATGGATTTGGTGAAATTGAGCGACTTTGCGACCAATGTGGGTGATCTTTGGGGATCGTCTCACTTTTATTCACGCTTATCCGCTTTCAAGCCTGAAGCCTATGATCTCTCACCAGTGGAGGATGACCCTCGGGACATGATGGCCAGTGCCTTCGGCATTTTAGAGGATTTCCATCGATCTTTCGATTCCGAAGCCCTCCAGCGCATCGTTTCCCTCTACCAAAAAGCTCTGTTCGTGCGAGCCCCATCACATCCCGACCGATGGAAATCATTATTCGAACTTTCCGAGGCCCTTCTTCACCAGTTTCGCCTCGACGGCAAAGACGAGCAATACCGCAAAGCGCTTTCTTTATTACAGGACCTCCACCAAGTGCAACCCAATCGAGGGTTGTACCTCTGTGCTGCGTTCCTCGTACGCCCCGATCCCGAAACTATTTTGGAAGCTCTGCTTTTGTTCCAGGGGATGAGAAAGTCAGCGCTGGAGGCGACAGAATTAGCAAATTCTGTCGATGAGTATGCGCCTACACACTCCCAGCTGGAAAGAGCGGTTTGCACCTTGAGGAAAGCAGAGTCTGCATTCCCTTGCGGTTTCGCGTCGAGGAAGGTTTTGCTCTCCAAACTCGGTAATGCCCTGACAGAGATGGCGAAGATGGCACACACCGGCTACATTGACGAGGCAACCGATCTTCAGTGGGAAGCGCTCGGATTGTGCTCTTCGCCTGACCCATACCGCGCCACAATCCTCCGCAATCTGGGTCGTACACTCAGAGTCCGGTTCGACAAGCGCGGTGCATCAAAGGACATAGAGGATGCGGTGCAAGCGTGTCGAGAAGCCCTCGCACATCACCCTCCAGCACATCCGGAGCGTGAAGAATCCCTCTTTGCTCTTGGTTTTGCTCTGAAAAGTCGATTTGGATGGAAAGGAGAAGTAGAAGATATTAATGCAGCCATTGGGCTGTTTCGAGAAGTGCGTGCACTCTGCCCTCCGGGAAACCCAAGCCACGGTGCGGCACTTGCCGATCTTGCGATGGCCCTCCAAGCGCGTGCATATCCACAGGACATCGACGAAACTGTCGAGCTCCTTCGAGAGAGCGTTATTTTCTTCTCCAAAGTAGCCCCTCATTCGGACACGTCAAATCGCCAGTGGGCCGATTGCTCGTCCGCTCTCGCCACTATGCTCGTAACACGATACCTGCAGAATAACGACCTCCAGGATATTGAGGAGGCCATCCAGTTGCTTCGCAAAGCTGTGAATTCTAGCTTCTCGTACCACCCAGACTACAGCAGTTTACTCAATAATCTTGGCGTGGCATTCTCAACACGGTTCCGGGACCCACAACATCGAAATTTGCATGACGCTGACGATGCTATAAAGGCGTATGAGGAGGCACTTGAAGTTCGCCCCTTGGCTCACCCCAAACATGCCCGTGCCCTTAACAATCTTGCCAATGCACTCCAAACCCGTTTCAAGCAGTTGAAGTCCGAGTCAGGAAAATCAGACATCGACAGGGCTGTTGACTTGCACAGAAGAGCCCTGACGCTCCGACCTGTGGGGGATCCCGGCCGCGGAAACTCCCTGACGAACCTCAGCGGTGCACTCATGTCACGCTTTGAGCACTTCACAGAGCAAGAGGATATTGACGATGCCGTGGAAATGTCTCGAGAGGCTCTGGATCTGCACCCGCCGCCACATCCCCAACACGGCATGTATCTCTACAACCTTGGATCCTGCTTTGCCGAGTATTATCGGCATATGCCAGACCTCGATATTCTCAGCAAGGCCATATCCAATTTACAGGGCGCAACGGTGTACGCCAAGGATGCGCAATCCCCCTTCTATCAGTTCATTTACGCACAAGCGTGGGCTGATGCGAGCGATGAGTTCAAGCATCCTTCTTCCTTGTCAGCCTACCACGCGGTCATAAATCTCCTGCCACAACTTGCTGCGCTCCATTTGGACGTTGGATCCCGCCTACGTATCTTGAGGAACACCAACATCACCGGCCTCGCATCTCGTGCTGCTGCCTGCGCTGCTGACCAGGAGCAATACGAGCGTGCGGTGGAGTTTCTGGAAGCCGGTCGGTCAGTTTTTTGGGCTCAAGCACTCCAATTGCGGAACAACTTGCATGATCTGGATATCAACCCGGAGCTTTCGTCTAAAATTGTGATGTTGTCAAATGAACTTGAACAGGTCTCGTTCAGGGACAGCACCAGAAATCTCTCCGATGATTCCCAGGAAACATTCATCTCAATTGAGGCCGCGGGAGCACATTTCCGTCGCCTTAATAGGGAGTGGGAGAAAACTGTGAACTCTGTTCGACTACGCTGCGCAGGTCAAGAAGACTTCATGCGCCCCAAAAGGATGACAGCCTTGCGCCATGGCGCCGCAACCGGCCCAGTTGTGATTCTCAACGTTGGGGAGACCCTGACCCACGTTCTCATCGTGACGTTCTCGGGCGGAGTTCAATGCTTAGCACTACCACGTATCAGAACGGCTTGGGTCAATTTTCTCGTTGACACTCTGCGGAGGGCCGCCAGCTCTACCTCCGTACACATCCCCATGAAACGTCCACGAACCGGGGACACAGAGGGTCAGATATTAGCCGCGCGACTTTCTGGCAAGAAAGAAGGAGATTATGTCGCCGATTCGAATGATATATTCCGGGGTGTCCTGCGAATTATCTGGGAGGACATAGCAAAACCAGTAATCGATGCCCTTGGTTGGAAGGTAAATTGATGTGGAGACCGTCCAGTGCGTATGCTCATATCCAATAGAAATCCGCGGACCTTCCTCGATTATGGTGGTGTCCCACGGGGTCGCTGGCCTTCCTTCCGATCCATGCTGCCGGGGTTTATGGCGAGAATGAGGTGGACTGCGTATCCGACTACGCCATCTCGTCATATACACCTACGCTGAGTGCACTCCTCGATGCTCCCACTGAATCTCCAAAACCGTTCAAAATGACCACGGTTATACAGCCATACTCCGAATTTTCTCCCCTGCCGTGTGCTGACGAAGAATTGGAGAGAATAAAAGAGAGGGTTCCAGAGCAAATGCGGGCAACCGTTGGTTCCAACGCAACAGCACAAAGTATATTGATGCATCTGCGGGAATCGGCAATCGTCCATTTTGCATGTCACGGCCTGCAAAACCTCGAAAATCCTCTTGACAGCGCCCTCATTCTTTCTAGTGGTCGTCTCAAGATCTCCGAAATTATGCGCAGGCCGGAAGGCGAATTGGGAAGGAGAAGGGCCAGCATGTCCCTTGCAGTTCTAATGGCATGCGAAACCGCTAAAGGGGATACGAGCGTACCAGACGAGGCTATGCATCTTGCCGCAACTCTGCTGTTTGCAGGATTTCGTGGAGTGGTGGCAACAATGTGGTGAGTGAACTCCAATATTGGCCCTCCCCTGAATCCAATTTGAGATGGCTAGGACAATGGCTGACCGCGATGGTCCAAAAGTTGCCGACAAATTCTATGAATATCTGTTCAGAAGTTGCGACACCAGCTCGCATCCTCCGGTGCTTGAAGTCCCCCATCTTACCGATGCAGCGAAAGCACTGCATTTGGCCGTCATAGAATTGCGGAAAGAGCCAGACATAACATTTGCGCGATGGGTTCCCTTCATACATTACGGCTTGTGATTTCTTCGTACTCTTTTGTTTTGCACGAGTAAGTTCGGATTCCCAGAAGAAGCTGGACAGTTAGCAGATCATAATCAACACACTAACGATTTGGAATGAAACCGACCTTTTGCTCGCTCTAAGCCCAGGTACACCCCAAAAAAAATCTCGGGCTGCCCCCGATCTACTTTATTAGGCGGACGTGGTGGGCCAGTTTGAATGTTGGTTTACCTTACCAGACAGACACTGCTGGAGGCCAGATTTCCGACGTTGAATTACTTTGCGGCGGCGCCGCCAGGTAGTTGGTACGTAGAGAGCTGACCTGCATCGCCAGCTTCTTCGCTACCGTGCTGATTAGGTTTGATTCCGGGATTCGCAACATGCATCAGGATTGATGGACCGGCGAGCCCGTCCCAATCCACTCCCTTCTCAGAACTCTTAGAAATTTTGGATCCTTGTAGCCTATATGTACATTAAACGATCCCGGCAGACTCCGGGGGCAACGAGCAAGAAGGGGAAGAGAAAAAGTGGAAATGTACACTTGTTGTGCAAATGCACACCCGTTTGGCATAATAGTATTGAAAGTCAGCCCAAAGGACGTTCGGGCATATATTATCTCTCTGAAATAGAGTCCCCGTTGTTGCTATAGAGTAAGTACTAGGGGGGCTCATGATCAAAGTTGAGCTGAGCTCCGTATCTCGTTTCGTAGCTCAGTTTTCGTAGCTCGCCTTCGGCAGCCCTCTTTTCCAACTCCGCCGGCAACCAGTTATGATCCGGACCGCAAACTCCCAATAAGACTTGAATAACCGCACATTTTAGGGTCAGAGACTGCTGGAATCCGCAATAAACGACTAACTAACACGCTGGAGAGCGCTTTTTTCGCGTTTATCTTACTGGTAGCTTTTCTTTCCAGCGCGGCTGGTCACGGGATGACGTGGCGGACTTTGAAACCGCTTGTGTCTGCCGAGCTACGAAACGAGATACGAAACGAAATACGGACCCAGCTACGGAGCTCAGCTCAACTTTGAGCCAGGACCGGTGTTTATCCCTTGGGAACTCGTCCCACAATTTGTCCGAACTTTCAAAATTTCCCACGCTTTTTGAAGCTGGCAAAACGCTCGATTCAGACAGCCACTCATTTTTCACTTTTTGGGACGGGGATTTTTGTCCGAACTTCTGGGACGAGTTCCCAAGGGATAAACACCGGTCCTTTTGAGCCCCCTAGTTCAATGGTAGAATGCCCGGGTTGATTTTCGACCGCGGGAGGTTGTGGGTTCGATTCCCGCTAGTGCGACCAGGGTGCCGGTGTGACGTTCATCCGCGAGAATTTCAGTCCACCCTTCATCCCGTGGACCCACTCCTCGATTTCATAAAACAAAGTGACTGTGGTAGTCGCGTTCTTCTTCTGTTCTTCGAGTTCGACCAGCATTGTCCAATGTACTTGAAGTGGATTTCCTCTCAGTTTTATCCGAAGTACCCAGCCTCTTCAAGGCGTCAATTCATCCTTCACCGCTTCGAGATGGGCTGGTTTGAATCCGAAGAACTGTAAATACAAGCCAGGGGTTTCAGCCAAAGCCCAAATGGACTACTCATCGGGCAAAATCAGCCTGGAGCTACACCGACCAATTTACACCACGCAAAAACGAGACTTGGGATGATTTTGTGAAAGTTACGGCGAGCCACATTTCACGGTACGGTGTGGTGAGAGTGAACGATTGATTAATTCCATTTTTATAGTAACCGCGTACACGCGTCGGTGTGTGTGGAGAGAGATAAGGAGGAGTGTCGTGTTCTCGTGGTCGCCGAGGAGGGTACGGAGCGTGAGGGGCTTCTTAAGGGCGAGACGCAGGGTGTGACGGGCGGACAGGTAGCGCTTGCAGGAGAGGAGGAAGTGGCCGATGCGCGGCAGCGGGAGCAAAGGGGGGAGTCCACGGCGTTGGCTTTGATACGGTGAAGGTCCTTGTTGAGGCCGAGATGTGCAGTGCGCAGCTGAGTGATGAGGCTGCAGTGGCGGCGCGGGCGAGAGGCATAGAACTTGAGGATGCGCCGCGAAGGCGGGCTGCGATCGAGGCTGGCGTGGTCAATGGCACGCTTCGATGCCTTCCACCTCGCATTCCTCTGGCCCGTCACCTCCTTCTTGTATGCTGCCTTGAGGGCAGCAGAACTGCGGGGGAGCGCGCAGTCGAACTCCTTGATGCGTCGCCTCAGCGGCGTACTGGATCCTTCCGCCGCGCTCTTCGCCTCGCCATCGGCCTTCTCGTTGCCTTCAACGCCTTCATGCCCCGGAGACCACACAATCTTGAACGACAGATGAGGCTTGGCGCGGAGCAGCGCCGCAATCTTGCGATGGAAGATGTCTAGGAGGTAGCGCCCGGGTTGCTGGCCACCTCGTACAGACTGAGTCACCCGAATCGCGGCCTGGTTGTCGATCAGGATGCACACCCGCCGGATGCGCGGGCATTCCCTGACGATGTCCAGGGCGAGAATCGCGCCGCACACTTCGCCCTCGAAGACGGTGTGGTACTTCAGGAGCCCGAGGTACATCCGACGGGTGTACGTCCGTCCGCGCGTATCCACCGCGTACGCCGCAGCTCCCACCCCGTCCTCGTAGCCAGACCCATCCGTGTAGACGCAGTATTACTCTTCGTAACCCGTGAGGGCTTCGATAGCTACCTCCCGCGTCCCCGCGATGTGAGAGGAGAGTGGGAGACAAGAAACGCGTCGCACGTCGATGCACAACACAACACAGCCAAATATCCTTCCTTCCACTCTTCATGCTGCGATGTTGTCTCGCGCCGTCTGTGCGCCTGGCGCCCAGACTGGCGCGCACTGCGACCACATACTCGACCACACACTCGAACGAGACGACGGCGCAGGAGGCATTTAGTGCGCTGGGGGTCTCGGACGAGATGGGTTCCAAGCCAATATCCGCAGAAAAAGACGAGCAGTGGAAGCCATACATGTACCTGCCGCCGCTGAGCTCTCTGGGCAGCGGGCGCCATCTCGAGCCACTGTTAAACGTCCCCCCGCCAGAAGACCCGCTGCTCAACTTCCTCGCCTCCCTCATCATGCGCCACGGCGAGCGCGCAAAAGCACGCCGCATCGTGTCCAAGACGCTCACCTACATCTTCACCCTCACCCGCGCGCCCCCGCTCCCCATTCTGCGCGAGGCCGTTCTCCTCGCGTCCCCCGCCGTCAAGAGCAAGGCCCAGACGCACGGCGCAAAGGTCGTGCACATCCCCATGGCCCTCGGCGAGAAGCACCGCACCCACTACGGCCTCATGTGGCTGCTCGCCGCCAGCCGCGCCCGCGCCGGCCGCCGCATCGAGGAGCGCCTCGCCCGCGAGATGGTCGATATCGTCCAGCGCGTACACAACGCCCGCGACCAGCCTCGCGACACCAGGCACTCGGGCGCGCTCGGCCTCAAGTACGACATGCATCGCTTTGCGACCGTAAACAGGTTCGTCGCTGCGTTGCCTCTGCTGAATGTCGCTCACATGGTTTCTTTGCAGAGGAGCTGTAAGACTGGAGCCTGGTGCAGCGAGGGCGATGGCTGCTGCCGCAGAGGCACGTATCACGGCACCAGGGGCCGCAGACGAGGACCAGTAGCACGGTACGTAGACTTTATAAAATACGAACATTGCAGAGCGCGTGCGCGTAACTCGGACCAGTCCAATTTTATCGACTCTACGAGAGTGGGATGGTATGCCGAAGCTCCAATCGCGCGATAAGAATTGTCGCGCGTCGCGTTGCAAGACCACGCTATGGTCTTGGATTGTAATAATTGAGATGCTGTCACGTCCTCCTTGGCTTCTAGATCTACAGCCGCAAAGGATTGCTCCATTGTCCCGTCTCGAGGTAAATATGGAGGTCCCATTGTTTTCTTAGTTGTAAGAAGTAGAAGAAATTAAATTAGAAGACCCCGGTGTTATATAGCGAACGAGAACATGTAAGATACAGCTACTTTTCAGACCGCATCCGGGAACAGATCCTCTGCGACCTTTGCCGCCTCCAACTCCGCCTCGCCCAGCGGCCCAGCCGGCTTTGCAGGCTTTGCCTTTCCCTCTGCAGACACAGACGCAGACGCCGACGACGCGGCGCTGGGGATCCCCTCCGAGCTCGAGCCCAGCGGGGACTCCACCGCATCGCTGCCCGCCACCGCCGCCGACGCCGAATCTGAAGCAGGCGCCGACACCGCCGGTGCCGACTCCGCATTGGTGGTCACGTCGTCCAGCACGGACGCCAGGAGCGAGTCCTCGTCGATGACGGGCGGCGGCGGCCGGGCCTTGCTTCGCGCGTCCTGGCGGTCGCCCGCGAAGATGTCGTGCCCGGGCTCGGGCTTGACCACGAACGTCGACGTGTGCTCCGCCTCGGGCTCCCCGGCCGGTGCACCCTGTCCGACGACGGGTGGCGGCGTATGCGGCGTGGGCGCGGCGACGCCGGCGTACTCCGCGTACTGCAAACCAACATTAATAAACCATGCGCAAGGAGGAATGTGAGTGACGTGAATGACGCACCGAGTCCGGGAAGTCGTTACTGTGCAGAGGCGCAATCAGGCCGAAAGTAGAGCGGGGAAGGGCGGAAGCACGTACCACGAAAAGTCCCACGTCTTGAGCCACTTGGCGCTGTGGCACTTGCTCTTCGTCCACTGGTTCCCGTACGCGAGAGGGCTGAGGTACATGAAGTTCCAGACGGCCAGGATGACGAGCACGCCGGCGATCTGGAGGCGCACGCGCGGGCGGAGCGTCGACGTGACCAGGTCAAAGACACTGGCGAGGAGGAGGATGGCGAAGTAGAGCGCGGGGAGGTAGTGGTGCAGGAAGAGCTGGCGCGCCATCAGATAGAAGGGGAAGTAGTGCAGGAACCAGCCGAGGAAGAGGAAGCCGCACACAGAATCGTATTTCACGACTTTCGCTGCGAGACCGTTAGTGAACCGACTAGTGAGAGGATAGATGTGTACTGTTATCGAAATCTCTGAACCCGCGTTTGGCACGGAGGATCAGGAAACCACGGACGGCGATGTAGCTGAGGACGGCGAGTGTGCTGAGCCACCAGATCATCGGGTTGCCGACGAGGTAGATTTGCTTGTGGTCCTTGACCCAGAAGTTCTGAAAGCGAAATTATGAGGGATGTTGGCAGCGAGGGGAAAAACTTAACATACGATTCCACGACGGAGGCGCGGCCACGCATCTGGGCGCGAATCGAATGTGTGCCGGTCAGTCAGCCCAGCGTTCGTCGTCCACATAACCTGCTGCAACTCCAAGAATTTGGCCAGGAAGCCAGGCAGCTTATAGTTGACCTTGGGTGCATCTGCTGGGACTATGACATAGCAATATCCATAAGAATGGACACAACACGAGAAAGTGCGGCAAACTGACGCATGGAATTAGTCGCAGTCTCCACAAACCACAGCGAGTTCGCCATGACCGCGTTCTTATTGCACGTCACCTCCTGCTGCTCGAAGCCCCAGTCCGGAAGCTTGACCTTGTGCGAGAAGAGGTAGCACCCGGTGAGCGCGTGCCGCAGACGGAACTTGGTGCGGAGCGTGCGCAGGCGCTTGGTAGACTCGCGGTCGCGCTTGTCGCCGCTCACGATCTCGACGTACCAGTCGTCGTTGGCGTCGCCCGCGTAGCCGGGCATGCCGTACGCGGAAACCTCGTTCTGGAAGTCGACGTCCGACACGGGCGGGCGCACGTCGTGCGAGTGCAGCCGCTTCGAGGTCGTGATGTGTTCGAGCTTGACGCGCATCTTGTCGGTGATGTACGTGAGCCCGCCGGGCCCTTCGTCTTCCCACGTCGCGTTTGCGATGCGCCAGTCATTGTTCTGGTCGCGATGCGGGTAGAGTGTGATCTGCTGTTCTGGGAGGAGGTCATTTACAAGTCAAAAAATAGGAAGGGGGCACATACGCTTGCTTCCGGCGGGGTAGTTATGCGCATGAGAGTGCAGATACCCGCCCTGCGTGTTGACGTGGCGAATAGTGATGTCGGAGCCGACGGCGACGTCCGCAAACGTGTCCGACATGCCGCGCCCGCCGAGGGTGTGCTGGAACTCGGAACTCATGAACCCGTCGCCGTCGCCGGAGCTGCCGAGGATCATGAAGTGAATCTGGAACATGCCCATGTAGAAGAGGGCGGGGACGACGATGAGGCAGATTGCGCGGGCGACAAAGTGGCGCATCCACACGCGCGGGCTGACGCGCAGGTCGCCGAGGAGGAGCCACAGCTGGTTGATGGTGCTGAGGCCGACGGTGGCGATGGTGAAGAGGCCGACCCACTTGCAGCTGAAGACGGCGCC